TCATCATCATCATCATCATCACCACCACCATTTGAAAGTTGACTGAGAGACGTAAGCTTTCTTTAGAAAAGAAAGGTTCTTTTTCTTTTTTTGAATGTGTGAGTGAAGGGACGTGGTTTTTCTTATTCCGGCCCGTGCTATTGCGATTCTCTAATTTTTACTGATAGCATAAGGCAAGAAAAAATGATATGTAGGTCTTAGTACCTTGTGGGGAAGATAACGCCAGTGACCATTCGTCTGCTTTGTAAGTGCCCGTAAATGACGTCACTACACCAAATCTGTTGTATACTCTCCTACAGACAAAGAGAAAATTTGAGTAAATGTACATTTGTATGGTCCAAGACAAAAACCAACATTTAGCGTCCTTCTCTTTCAATCTATTACTAATTTTAAAACTACCTAATGCTTTACCTGCAACTATAAGACAACACTCGCACCACATCCACTCGTCAATGACACCACCCTAAGCTTTGCTCTTTTACTGAAGGTATTGGTTGTTCAACAGATTAGAAGCGTGCCGCTTTGCCTTTCAATTTCCTGTCTATCACAAAGTCTCACCCATTGCACCTTCCCCACTTCCCACTCAGAAATTTTCATAAGGTTGACATTTTTCCACTTTATATTTAGGTACCTTAGTACTGCATTGACCTATAGTTAGTGGTGGGCTGTGGTATTGTGTGCCACAGATACTCTTTATCCACTGGAAATTGAATCTGCACGCTAGACACCTGTATAGTGCGTTGCTATAACAAACACCAAAGCTGCAAGCTAAATTTTGCCAAGTGTAGTTTTTACCATTTGTCGTTCTTTGCAGCCCATTTGTTTCAAACAACAAAATTAACCCACTTTGCTGTGTATATTACTTACTGCAGAAGCCCCACGGTATCACCTCCTCCTAAATCATTGCCATATCCTCTTCTCCACCGTGAATCACGCGTGCCTCTCTGTCTGACTACTTGAACTTGGTTCACGTCTCCAGTAACAGAGCTTTCATCCACATAATAGGCAACCTATAGAAACAAAACAGTCCTGGTTATGACTCTTAAAGATAATCGAACTGTTGTGTCGAAGGTTGCTTTGTAGACCAATGTCAGCCCATACACAAATGATTTTCTAATCCATGAGTGTTCTCTCCTGTTTGTTGAGCGTTTATGAAAAATTTAAGCTGATAACTGACACGTTTGGGGCTTCCTATCAACTTAAGTTTACACTAGGGTCCAAGACGTCTAAAGCGGAAGAGGTTTTTCTTGTAAATTGTGGTCTCCCACGACCGATAAAATGTAAGGCAGTTAGTTTAAGAATTTGCACCTGTTACACGTCATAAACTGTACACTCACTTATGCACATCCTTTACGATTTTTCTTGGAGAGAGTGGTCACGGTTTGCACATCTTGAAAACTGAGTTTAGCCAAAATTTTTCAAGTTCGTCGTTTTCAATCCGTGTTAATCTTCTCCACACTTAACCATCCTTGTTCCTTTATGGTTTATTATCATTTCTTTGGTGTTTTTCTATCATAATACTTTCAGGTTTCCTTCAATTTCAAGATAATTTTGTATTTCGGCCAAAATACCTCGACAGAGCTCTTTTAAATTGGATATTTTCCACAGTGGATTGATCACACCCATACTCTCTTTATAAGAGGATATAAAGCCATTTTATTTGGTTATGTAATTATATATTCTGGTGTATATATTACATAAATCAGAGGGTTTTATAAATTCTCATCGTGTACTCACAAGGATGACTCTACTGATGGTTATGCCAGCTGGTAAATTGAGAATCCAGTTAACAGGTTCATAGCTGGCAAGCACGAGTATAACAGGTTTGCCTGACTGGCCACCGCTGATAATATTGACATTAGTATCACCGGCAGATGGAGGGCGTGTGTGCCTATTCCCTTCGTACACAGACAGTACGTGGACTTCGTACTGTGTCGAACTGCTGCTAGGCGTACAGCTGTAGATTGTCCTAATGGGCTGTTTGTTATACTGTGGTTTGGCAAGGGCTGTATTAGAATTAATCTCGATTCGACATCCATATGCATCAGCTAAAGATGTGAAAATATCAACTGTTAATACATTAATACAAGAAGACGCGACAGGGGTGGGGAGGCGATGTCGGTGGTGCATGAGGGTAGGTGTGCCTGGTTTCTAGTGATTTACCAATTTTATTGTGTGCTCTTCGAACATCCGCATAACCTGGTTAAATACATTTATTAGCCAAAGAAATGCGGTTCTATACATGTTGCTAAGGGACTCTGTCACGGCTGAATTTAGGCTATTTTGTTAATTAGTTTTAAAACTCGTTATGAAACTTAATGTCAGCGCAGAAATTACTTTTCTGGGTCAAAATGAAAAAACCATGGCTTTATTACAAACAAATGTCTCCCAGGCGTTATAATCAAAGGTGACAAACAAACGAGATTTACCTGTTAGTCAAACAGGTTTTCAAAATCTCGGTCGCAATCCTTTTTAATCTTCTTCAATTTTTGTCCATTCTTTTGTATTTGCTGTGTAGCATATATTGAAATGTTCCTTTAATGTTTTAAGTGTTTTATATTTCATTCAGTTTGGGGATCATTTTCTTTATGTCAAAATTCTTAAGATCCATGACAAAGTTCCTTTAGATAAATCTTACTTAAAATGGCCATAGAAAACTCAAGTTCTTTGGAACACTGGCGAAATCTCTTTACCTCATAGCCTAAAAATACTCTTATTGTATAATTTGCCTTTAGTATTATGAGAAATAAAGATATTGTTGTTATTGTTATTGTTCTTTCAATATCCGAAATAGCCTTCTTGGATATAAATATTGAACGATCAGAATAACGAGCTACTCGATCTTTTGAATCCACGCTACTTAAATAATTAATAATTTCAATTAATTTCAGCAATGCACTTTGAACTAGGAAGATATAATATCATAATATCAATCGTTTTCTTAAAACGGGTGATAAAAACTGAGCAGTTTCGCTTAATACGTTGAATACCAAATAAAATAATGAACCTAGAAATCATATATAAAGGGCACCAGCTTTCGTTCTCTACATGAACAATTTACTTACGCAGGCAAGTGTCATAACCGTAGTGTGGGCCAGTACACACGCAATATCCCGCTCTACAGACAGACTTCATTTTCCCATATCGCCCAGAACAATGGCGGGAGGTTCCTAAGCACTTCCGCGTCTGACATGAAACATCGGTTAAGCAGAAAATTAGGGCGATTGAAGACCAGAAGGCAAAGGAATTCTTGAACATTTTGATCCTCGGCATCTCCCTGTGAGGCGAAAAGTTTGAAGTTATTTGAGCTGAGCTAATAGAATGCTTGTAACCCCGCAACTCACAATGTATCCACCAGGCGTGGTGTGCCTTACGGTGGTTCGATCAGATTTTTGATTAGCGATACTGTTCAACTTAATTTGAGRGACTAGAGCACCACCATCATTAATCCAAGAGCAAATCAAACGTCTCTGGTGTGCTAGAGAAAGAGGAAAGTTTCAAATGATATACGTTTTACCACGATCTGAGTTACCCTAGCAACGTTATGACGTCATATCCGCTTTCACATAAGAGCGGATAACTTGTCATAAAGGGATAATTTTGGGTATACGACGCCGGCATCTAAGACCTGACATTAGTTGTCTAAACGATGGCAAAAGGTATTGTAAAAAGTTTTATCAGAGTGTTTTTGAGAAAATTGCGGGTGACGTTTCAAGGTGTCGAAATACAACAAAAACAAAGGTGTTTTAAAACATTGTTGCAAGCTATGGCAAGAAGATCATAGTAATATAGATGTCCAACAGTGGCAATTAAATGAAGACATGATGATAGATGCGAATATAGCCATAACACTACTGGAAAAAAGACCTGAAAAAAATTTCATTTTTTGAACGGGATTCCAACCCACGACCTTTGCGTGCACTACCAACTAAGCTATCCGGCAAAGCAACATGTTGGGAGAGCATT